GTGTACCGGCGGCTTGGCTCCGCCCAACATGGCAGCCGCCCCGTTCCTTCTCCCGTCGGGCGCTTCGGTGGCGGACGGAACCATTTGTGACGCCCAAGGGGTGTGTCTCAGAAATGATCTTCCTATAGGAATTGCGTGGCAATATAACAGAACTCAGAAAGCACCGCTAAAGAGAATCATAAGCTCAAGGGAGCCTTTGAATTGTGATACCCTAGCTGGTAACCAGACAAACCGTTTCGCTTACAATACGAGCCCTCCCTTCTCAGTTCGCTCTTTAGACTCGTCGACTGACGGGGCGAAAGAGCGGACGATTCCAAAATGACAGGAAGCACAGGGTTAACTGGGGACGGCCCGAGAAGACAGCCTGTTCCGATACAAGGATTTAGGTTCCTCGCACGGCGTTCGTGGCGTCGGCCGACGCCTTCTCCCCATTTTCTGTGTGCCAATGGTTCGGCCCGGACGTCCGCCGCCCTCCGACGCGGGCGCGGGTCACGTGTCTGGGGGCGGGTCCAGCGGCGACGCAGCGGCGGGAGGCGCGCAGCCCAGGTGCGCGCGCGCGCTCTGAGGAGGGAGCTGGAGGCGGCGCGTTGGGAGCGGCCTCCGGTGTGCGGAGCGGCCTGCCTGGGCCGGCTTCCCGGACTGCAGGCGCGGCCCCGCTTGCGGGCACTTCGCAGCGGGCGCGGACGGGGCTGGGAGGCGGAGCAGAGGCGCCTTCCTCACTCGCCGGCCGACCGAAGGGAGAGCGCCGGCGAATTCGAGGTGGGTGCCAATCCCGGGAGCCTGTGTTAAACGGTAAAACTCTGCCTTACCGTTTAATTAACTTTGAATTTTGACTCTGCTTTACCGTTTAATTAACGTTGAATTTTGACTCTGCTTTACCGTTTAATTAACTTTGAATTTTCCTATGTGGACAAATAGCTCTTGCCTTCTGTCTTCTTCGGACTTTTCTTCTTTGGATTTGTTGTGGTTTTTGCAGTTGGCCTTGGAGCGGTAGCTCCTCAGGAGTGGAATAGGAAAAAGAAAATTGTGTTGGTTGTTTCCTACATTTGTGTTTGTTGTCTTTTAGTCTTGCCCCCGTGTCTTCTCCCCGTCATCGTGGGACAGAGCGCCTCCAAGACTACCCCCTCCTCGCCACTTGAATGTCTAACTAAAAA